TTAACAAGAATATAAATAAAATACTAAAAGGAATGGTTTTAAATGATGCCGAGATCAATTAAGCATATAATTACGATTACCCCCTTGAGTATAGATTAATTTCTAAAGGTTAATACCAAAATAGCTCATTTAATTATTAACCTTTAATAGTGCAAATAAGTAGCAATGTAAACAGAACAAAGTTGCTTAGTTAGGGTATTTCGGTCCGGTTGTTAGATGAGCATTCGCCTCTAGCAAGTCAAGTATAGGGAGTACGAAACAAAATACACGTACTGGCAAACTTTAAGCAAACATGATAGTAATTTAAAACATCTATAAAAATGACTAGTAAGCTCACCTGTATACATAATAGAGCAGATACACCTCTAGTGTGTCCATACAGAGACTCGCTGTGGGCTAGTCGTTTGCTTTCTCCCGTGAATAGTTCAATCGTACTACTTTCAAGACCAGCTGCAACAAGACTACCAGAGGAAGTGGTAGCAATGGCGTGAATCATTGGCGGATTTACCGGGACACCAACACTCCAAGCATTGGCAACTGGGCGCTCGGACTGGTTAGAATCAACCTATAGGCAAATAGTCAAATTGGCTAGGAAGAAAAAGAAGCAACATATTGTAAAAATCTCGGTTACATTTGATGCCACACGAAAGCCACGTGGAGACACTTCGGTTTCGCTAGTCGAATGGGCATTATCTGTCCGTTGAATCGAGTCGTCATGTTGCGATGAACCATAAGGATTAGTGTAACGAGTAGCAGTAACTTGTGATATATTGTCGGGGGAGTCCTGAGACATATTGCTTGTATTAACAGTAAATCCTTCCTCAGGAGTAGTGACTGCAATGGAAAAAGCCTGGTTTCTCTCATGGAGACCTATTGTATCAAGTTCTTCCAAGCTTTCTATATCATCGCTTTCACTATCTTGACCTTCGGAATCAGTATGAGAAACATCAGAGGGATGATGTTGCAGCGAGACCTGCTCATTTAATGTCGCAGTCATATCATGATAGAGATTCGCATCAATGAGCTCATCCATTTCAAATATCATAACAGCAAGACCAGTACCTTTCCAATCTGATACAATAAGTCGGCAATCCAGACCTCCAGTGATGATTTGCCAACTTTTATTAGGCCTGAATTTTACTGATGAGCAGATGTTATCATGCTTTTTTAGACTGCGAACAACATTTCCTGTATCCATAGCAATAATTTTAACTGCCCCTGTGTCATCAGCAACGGCAACACGGGACTCGCAATCCAATACGTCGATACAATTAATTTCATCGTCATTCACCTTTAAAATATGTTTACGCCAAATATATGGCTTACCATCCATTCCGCAAGAGGCGTACTAAAATTACGTATATCCCACGAGTATAGATTGCGGTTATGAGCACTATACAATAAATCTGGCTTATCTACACCGAACTTTACAGCACAACAAGGTTCAGAAATAGATATAGAAGAAATAGGTGCAGAACTCTGGTCCGGAGACCAAAGGCAAACTAGGCCATCATCACCACCTGAGGCAAGGTAGCGATTTGAGAGAGAGAGGGCAGCGACAGAATCTGAGTGACCATCCGAAAGATTAGAGACGGATTGGCGAGCCATGAATATATAAATATGAATTTTAAAGTTCTTTAAGTCACGTGAACATTTAAAGAACGGTGCTGGAATGTGTAGAAAGAAGGTCTATTGCCGATAATATCCCAAGTCCTGTGAAAGTTAATACAACACAACAATACTTGTCTCGAAGCTCTGCTGTAGCTTCAATTTCTTGAAACTTC